CCCGTTCCGTTCGGTAGTAGTCGACTACTACGTACGTCCGTCCTACTAGTACGACCGACTATTACTACTAGTAGTGTGTAGTAAGAGTAGTATACTCCTCTCTCTCTCTCTCTCTCTCTCTCTCTCTCTCTCTTCTCTCATGACCACATTATTCAAATTTGTCAACAGGTGGTTAAGATTTTATGTCTGTGAATTCCCCCATGTTGTTTATCAATATCTCTTCTCTCTCCCTCTCTCTCTATGAGTTTTTGTATTTTGCTTTGTTAATGAATGAGCTTGCTGTTGATTATAATTGACTTCTCTTAATAAGTTATGCATCTCTCTCTCTCTCTAGTTTTTGTAATTTGATTTGTTAATGAATGAAGCTGATCTTGATTATAGGTAACTAAACCTCTCGCTCTCATTATTCAAAATGTGGCAACTATGTCTGGGAATTCGTTTCTGTTCTCTCTCTCTCTAAATTTTTGTAATTTGATTTGTTAATGAATGAAGCTGATCTTGATTACAATTGACTTCTCATAACAAATTATGTCTCTCTATCATGAAGTAACGTCTCTCTTTCTCTTGTTCGTTTTGTCCACGAATGAATGGGTTTAAGTTGATCTTGATTAGAATTGGGATTGTATATAATGAGATTATTTATTTTTAATATAAAGAGGTCACAATCACTTTTATTCATTCGATGTGAAATCAAATATCTTGGGTATGTCACAAAATTTGAAAAAATAAATTTAAACTTTGAGCTTGGGCAATAGAATAAATACAAAAGTAAATAGGAAAAAGATCTGAATATTTTTTTGGTCTTTGCCAATGACCGATCCCGATTTCGTCTATAGATTTTTAAAAAATCGACCGATCTTTTGATTGCTTAGGGCAGTCCAATGTCCTTAATATCGAACCGCCTCATATAAAGGACAGTCCAATAACAAGAAAATATAAAACCAACCTACATATGGGGATGGTTCGATATTTTGGACGGCATACCACCTCATGAAAGACAAAAATAAAAGAAATCGACAGTCAGATGGGGTAAAATAGGAAAAAAAAATTAAGGGCACGATCGCATGGTAAATTGCCAAACTTATGGACCAAAAGATCATTTCAGTAATTCTTAACCGATTCCTACATAAAAATCTTTTTATTTTATGATTTTTGTTTCACTCGGGTACCTCTTTAAAAACCAGGGAAAATATCTGCATACCTCCTGTCTTTAAGTTTCATTTCACAATAGACCCAAGGTTTTAAAAGATATTTGAGGTATACAAATTATAGATTTTATTTCTTCTAACCCCTTAAGCTAATTTAAACATGTTTTTTTAAGCCAAACAAATCTAAAAAGACATACTCTTTTTAAAAGTCATCCTCCCAATTTTCTTGAGAGAGAAGGGCTTCATGGAAGTGAGAGGTTACCAGGAAGAGAGAGAGAGGTGTTTGGAAAAACATAAGAAGAGAGAAAGTCAGATATGCAAGAAGAGAGAGAAAGAGAGAAGTTTTGGATATATATAAGTGGAGAGAGAGAAATGATTAGGTTTAAAAAGAACAAATCTTTCTCACATTTGTTTAGGTTAAAAAATAAATTTAAAATGATTAAAAATTACAATATATCTTTTAAAATTTTAGGTTTATCATGAAACTTAAAACTAAGAAATATAGATATATTTTTTAAAAAAACTAATTTTTAAAAGCCTCAAGATTTCCCTTTGTTTAAAATTAGGAAACCTAATCAAATAAATGGGGATATTTCAATAACCTATTGTGAAGGGGCACTCATATCAATTGGTTGGGACTTTTCAGAGGAGTCAAATTATTAAAATACCCCTAAGTTTCCACACCCTGTACAAGAACAGATTTGAGCATTTTGGGGAAACTAAACCCTCCCTATATTGATTGAGATCTTTTGACCCTACACTGATTTTGTAGAAGTTTTGACTCCTTAGGTGATATTTCCCAAACACACAAAAATTGGATCAAACCACAATAACAAAACATGATCTTGAGCTCAATTCGAAACACAGGGAGATAAGATTCTGCGATCAATTCACTTCAACAAATGAAGGCAGGATCCACATCACAAATATTAAACATCCCTCTCTCTAAACTTGGGTCTTTTTTGACCTTTTTTTTGTTTCATGGGCCTACTCCGGATCTTCATTAAGTTGGAAGATATTCCTTTCACAATGAAGGTGTAGGCTGATGGACCTCGTGACAAATAAAAAGCATGATTTAAGTTTTGAGAGAGACAGAGAGAGAGAGGTAGGTGCATAAAAACCATCGACGTTGAAGAGGGGGAGAGAAGGAGCTTAAAAACCATGGAAAATGAATATATATGTACATAGGAAAACATTAGAAAACGTCTATATGTGAAGTTCTACAGTACTTCTCACCTACAATACATCACCGTCCAAAGTACGTTACATAGACACATATGTCTGATAATGTTTGAAGTTTAATAATTTGTTTATAATCATAATGATCTAAAATTTTGTAGGTGCGTGCGCCTTAACAAGGCGCACCTTAATAGAACATAACAAATAATAATTTGGATGACAAAATGATCTAAAATACCCCAAAAACTTATTCAAGGGTATTTTATCATTTTGTTATTTTGAATTATTTTTTTTAATATTTTATTTTGATGCAAGTTGATCATATATACACAGTTCAAATTTTAGATAAATTTGACTAGTAAAAAAATTATTAGAATTCAAACACTATCAAATATATGTGACTGTGTGATGAATTTTGAATGGTGATGAACTTAAGACAAAGTATTGTATAACTTCACTTATAAGCATT